ATTTGAAATCGGCAATGACTTAGTTGCCAACCTAATAGGTGGCTAACAGAAAGCCGCCAGACAATTAGCTCAACTTAGGAACCCCAAACTTACCTCCTCCTCCTCCTTAATAGTTTTTTTCTGCTATTTCTTCGATGCACTTCCCCACCCCCAACACTTTCTTGCTTTTAAAAGTTCAACTCTTAGTGTACCGAATTCTGAAAAGAAGCGCGTTTTTCTTAGATTTTTTATCCATAACCGATTTATATCGGTCACCAGAGGTGGTTTTATACTACACCAAAACCAAACTTAACTAAGCTTCGTACAATAAATTTAGTTTGACTAAAGCCAAAGCTGAGAGGAGGAAAAACTCAAAACACTTCGATACTGAAATTATTTTGTATTTAGGTTTACTGTAGGCTTTACCAATGTCTGATTTCCATACTCACTGTGTATATATGTGACTGATTAAATGCCCATCAAACCAGAAATAGAGGTAAATTTAATTATAAATCTATATGTCATGGGAGCATAGAAGAGACATACTGGCCAACGAATGCTTTTTTAGCCAAAGGTCTTTTGTCCTTCTGATTAATAACGCCTCCAGATATGTTTATTTATCCACTTGCTTATCGTGTCTACACGGTTACATGTTTTAATCATATTGAGAATTGATCATTCGCTAAGGGGAGATATTAGACATTGGAAAAATATATGTGACTAATTAATTATTTAAATAACTCAGTATTTTCTAATATTTGACTGTTGAATGACTTTTCTTTCTTACTTTTCAGTAAACGTTTATGCTTCTGCTACTCCTCTTTATTTCAATTCATTATGTATATAATTAATAATATTGCATTCAATAATAGCAATTAGTCGGTTCAAACAAAGAAATATTTATTTTCTCTTAATCCTACTATTTTCAATGCTACTGAAAAGTAGAATGACAGAAAGGTATACTTCCTCTTGGCTCTGTGACATTGCCAGTAGCATTTAACAATCAAGATAAGTCAAGATAAAAAGCTTTCAATAAAAATTTATTATCTCCAGCCAGGACCACTTGCCATAGCTACTGTTAAAAATGCCTTTTCGCATAAAATTTGATTCCTAAATTTCTTAGGTGTTTGTTTAAGCAAATCCGCCATTTTGATTATGACTAAAACTCCGGCGTATACACAATATACGCTGTATACTCTTTGAATAAACGTGTTCTGAGCTATATGTCTGTTTCCTCTATAGGTGAGCTGTAGTCTAGCTAGTTCTGGGAGTCTAGACAGATAAAGGAGATTCTGCCATAGAGATCTCTGAGTCAATCAAGGCTTTACAAATAATTTTCACAAATATAAACTATGATTTGCGTATGACAACAATTTTTCTGACATTTATAAAGTGCGAAAAAGCTAAATAATCAATTATTAACAAATTATGACTACTTAATTAAATATTATAACAAACGGCGAAAGATATTGGACAAAAAATTTTAAAAAACACAGGACACATTAATGGTCACCGCAATGATGGACACATTCTGGCCTTTTGAGAGGCACACGAGGAGTAGCAAAACGTTCCTCAAGAGATTTCTTGACGATGGAATCCATTGATATAGTTGAGGGTATTATGACGGCAATGATTGTGAGAAGGCAGAAAAGAGCCAGAATATAGGCCAGAGAAATGATGAGGAGGAGGCAGAACCATTCAGCGAAGTCTTGCCATTCGAGGTCCTCCATTGATAGGGCCGCTGGACAAGGCTCAGCATCGGGACATGACTCAACCTAAAGGTCAATGCGATTTGGGTAAATAATGTTGCTCCTTATCAATCATTAATATTTATTTCTGTTTCACGATTGGTTAAATGGCAAGTGAAGTGTAACTTAGTGATAGACTTACCTCCACGTGGTGCACCCTGGGCAATGTAAACTCATACGGCAAAAAGTCTATGTCCTGACAGTTGACTTCTGACTTCAAACTGCCATGACCCCACTGTATGTCATATTCGACTACTTTCAAAATACTCATCCCACCTTTTTTCCACCTTATCTACCTTCGTCTTTGAAACACCCTTCTGTCCCCCCCCCCGCCCTCTCGATATTTTTCACTTTGATGTCCCTCCCCCTCTGTGAAGCCTGAAGTCAACCAAAGGGCTAATGCTAACCATCAAAACGCCTGCCATTTGATATAATAATAATAATTTCCTTAAGACAAAAAGTTATTGAGCTTCAATAACTAAACACCACGTTCTTATCTCGAGTGCAAGTAAAGCATTCAAATTCCAAATGCAAAATCCGCTTTTATTTATTCCTCAGTTGACCGCGACAAATTACAAACAACTTACTTTAATACATAAGTGGTCGGATTTTGGAATGACTGATCACCCCTTAGAATGATCACAGTGCAAAGGACGTCGCCTTGATTTGCCACTTCATGCGCGTAAAATTGTTCCACCAAACTGGACATGGTGTCACCCTAATTATGCCTACTACAAGCAGATAAACTGATCTAGTCCAAATAGTATATTATTTAAAAATACTAAATGAAGATAGAAAGACCTAAATATAGGTGTTATTGGTAGCAGGCTGTAAATTCATCATGTTTTAATTCCAATTATGGTGGTTAAAATGTTCTTTTGTAAGAAATTGTTCAAAATTTCAATCTTGTTTTCGTGATCTCAAACATGGAAGGGAAACGAGATACTCATAGTAAGAGAGTTTTCAAAGCAATACAATTATAAAAAAAGGTAAAAAAATTAATTTTACCTGTTCCAAAGGTCCCATACAGTCCTCCTCTCTCTCACTTGCGCATACGCGGATTCGACGTCTGAGGCGCTGATCACCACAAAATGGTTCACAGGATGACCAACTTGACCATGTAGTCCATCCACCCAATTGTTCATCACATTGTTCTCCTCCGAAACCGTCTTCGCATTCACAAATAGACTGTTTCCTATCCTTAAATAGAAGACATGAAGAATGCGGGATACAATTTTTTTTAAGTCACAATCATTTAGCTAAGGTCTGTTTGGGGAAAAGTTTATCCTGAGTACAGTTGCTTCTTATACCAACAATATTTGCGTTAAATTTACCTGTGAAGAAATACACCATCCCTCAACACAAATTTTATTTGAGCATGGATCTTTTTTGGCTGCACAATTGTCGTAGGGCAGATTTCGATCCATTTTAAAGCCCTCACTGCATTGACAAATGTAAGTAGTGGTTCCAAGACGTGGAATACATTTGTTGGTTGAACCACAGGCCTCTTTTCCGGCTGGCAAAATTGGTTTTGACGAAAAGTCATCTGCTGGATCATATTCCTGTGAACCAATTAAGCAGGCGTCCAGTAGATCGGAGCAATCATGACCCATGTAGCCAAGTCGGCAGACGCAGGTTAAAGAAACTAACAAGTGAAATAAAGATTTTAACCTCAACACAAACTTCGCACGCATAGGCGCTTTTGTTTTCAAAAACATGATGCAACTTAGTGCAGGCATGATTTGCGTTACCCTCTTGTGTCTATATTAAAATAGCGACTTACGTGTTTTCGGATCATGCAAACAAGTTGCCGTATTATTGTGGTGGCATAGTTTCTCACAACGGTTCTCGGAGACACATGAGAAAGCGTTTGAATCCCAATAGAAACCCTTAAGTAGAAACAAATTTCTTTCGCTATAAAATGTCATGATAAAGCTGCGTTTGCGTATGGAGAGGATATTTTATCAAATATCTAATTAATTCCCTTGCTCACATTGAAAAGCGCTTTCCAAAGGTCATCTTTGGTTAGGAGATTGTATCATCGGGCCACTCTATTGGAAAACCTGAATCCTTTCCACACCCCCTCCCCCCTTTATTGGCCAAATTTGACCAATACGGGTGATCGTTTCACTCATTGGGTACGCGCTGGTGAACATTGAATCTGTGCTCTCTAACCTCGCAGAGAGACATTTTAGTCACCACACCATTAGCTCATTGAAGAAGATATGCTTAAAGGGTCTAATAACATGCCTTGGAGTTTATCTTCTCTAGACGATATTAAGCTTATTTATAACAGAAACCTTGAAAAATTTAAGGTCAAGGTATGCTTTCAAACATGAACACATTAATATTATTAGTTCGGGGGTGCGCGATAGATTTACCTCTACGTGGTACACTCTAAGCAACGTATACTCATGCGGCAAAAAAGTCTATTAACCGGCAGTTGACTTCTGACTTCAAACTACCACGACCCCATTGTATGTCATTTTCCATCACTATCACGGTACTCACCTCACCTTAAGCTACTCTCTATCTTTGTATCCGTCCACTCTTTTACATCTTTGAAATACTCTTCTTTCCCCTCTCCCCTCACCACTTTTTGTGACTTTGATGTACCTTCCCTCTGTGAAACCCGAAGTCGACAAAAATACCAATGGTAACTATCCTAAAGCCTGCCATTTGATATTAGAAATATTAGGGTGTATTGCTTTTATTATTAATAGTAGTAGTGCTATTATTTTACTTGGAGGCCAAATCATTTGGAGTAGCAGTGATCTATTTCATACATGGCCGATATAAAGTCACACAGTTCCAGTCATTGACATTTATAACCTGCTATTTATTTACACTTTCATTGCTTATATTCTCAGTAATGATTTAAGCCTGTAAGCAGCTGTGGTAAAGATAAGGCAACATGAGATTTATTCCATTGCAGATAGCCACTACCAAGCGTGAAAAGTCGGTTCAAATGTCAAAACAGAATACTGATATGAGGCAGTGAGTGTCAGGTTATTTTGCAGTCTCTGGGGGCTTCTCCTCAGCTTGCAAAATCTTCTTCATCTTATCGATAACCCTTGCAGTTCTCTCTCGCTCGCATGCCTTCGCTGTCTTCACGACAATTGCAGCCTCCACATATAGGGGTCTTAGTTCATCGGCCGACCTCTTCATCATCTCCTCCACATCAAAGCACCGGTAGACTAGCAGAGTCGTCACCAAAATTATAACCAATATTACCGTAAAGATCCCATCAAAGATGAAAACTTTTGCAATTTCTGACAAACTCCCAACCCACCTTCCAAGGGGTACATATGCCTCCATGAAGAAGTCTTGGAGTATAATTGCATCTCTGCCAACACGAGGACAGGCAAGATCAATCCACTCTCCACCACTGCCTACTTTACTTTCATAGATTGGAGTGTAATGGTAGTGTGGACATGGGAGACAGAAGGATTGGCCAAGAGTTTCTGCATAGAAACCACTAGCGCAAGGATGACACGAAGAGGGCGAATCGCTGTAGGGCCAGGCTATGGAGGCAAGTTGATCATTATCCAAGGTTCCATTAATCTGGCTAAGCTTACGCTCGGGAGGAGGGGGCATAGTGATCTGCAGATCTGAGCTAGATCCAGTTGGGCAAAGCTCTAAAATAATATGAGGGAGATTGTTTTGATGTTCATTACAAAAAGTATCAAAATTCGAGAATTAATCGGAAGCTTGTGGCGATAATTTGTTCTTTACTATTGTTTAAATTGAAACAATTGTAACTGGTAAATTTGAAGTCTTTACAATATAAAGGAATTCGAATGCTATTCATAACTTTTACAGGCAAGTAATTAACTTTTAATTGCCATTAGAATGCTTCCTATGTATGCTCGAAAATTTGATGTAAATATTGCTCTTCAGAAGATAAAGTGATGCTTAAATAAATTAAATCAATAACTCCAAAAGTATAAAGAACATCTCTGTTTAATTACTTCTCAACAAGGGGCGGGGGGTCTGAAATTTTACATTTTTCAGATTTAACTTTTGAATCCCGGTGGCAGCAAAAAACTCTTATTTCACGGAGATCATTCATTCAAGTTTCTAGTAAGATGCACAATCTTCTTTCACTTCGATTGTCCATTTGACCAGTTGTTGTAAATTTAATAATGAATGCACATCCATTCCAGATTTCCACATGCAGAGAAGTTAGTGGTTCCCACAGCCAGTGGAAGGAGTAATGGACCATTAGTGCTCGAACCTGGCTTGGTAAAGAGTATGAGAGAATTTTTGCTTCTAAGTTCTCCTGGTTGGTCTTGGCACAAGTCGTTAGTAATGCAGCGATCATTTCGCCATTCAAACAATTTCTATTCTCAACACAGTTACTTTCAGTTTGTCAGCTGATAAATGAACGCTTATATCTAGCTTAAATTAACGCGATTCAAGCCAAGTAGGGAAGATTTTTCTTCCCAGAGCCTTGGTGAATATTTTGACGTTTAAATATCACATAGACTCAAAGATAAGTGTAGATCCCACTTGGGACATATTCGTCATCTGAAATTGTACGCTCAGGAATGGCAATAATGTGTGAAAGAAAGTTCAAACAATAAAGATGGCTAAACCCACCCTGGGCAACGTATACTCACACGGCAAAAAAGTCTATTAACTGGCAGTTGACCTCTGACTTCAAACTACCATGACCCCACTGCTTGTCATAGTCCACCACTTTCGCGGAACTCACCTTACCTTTTCTCCACCTTTGTGTCTGTCTATTTTACATCTGTAAAACAACTCTTCAACTCTAGAATTTTGGGATTTTAATGCTCCTCCCCTCTGCGAGGCCTGTAGTCAACGAAAGGGCTAGTGAAAACTATCATAAAGCCTATCATTTGATGAAATATTTTTATTTTGAGTGACAATACACCTTCCTTAATGTCTAGATTGGGCCTTAAATATTAGGAAGGGTAGTAGTATGCACTAACCTCAACACATTCGCATTTAAAGTCATTCTTGTGAATTCCCAAGATTTGACACGACCCTGCTTTTGCGTATGAAAGCACGGAGCACGGGCTTTTTGCGCAAGGATTGGGACATATCTACAAGTAAAATAAGAAATGGATCATTGCGCTTTCGTTTTATTCTGCTTAGTAAATAGGTATCAAAATTGTTTAATGCTTTAGACCATCTAGTCCCCACCCCCCCCCGCCCCCCACCCTCATACTATCTCTAACTCACTGTAACAAAAGCTTTCAAGTGTTAATTAATTTTATCTTCATTTTGGGTACTTTGGTGCATATGAGGTAAGTTCGTTTTCATAAGCAGTTAATAGGTAACCTAATTTACAACTAACTCCTCTTCCAAAGTGATTTATCTGAAGTACTTTCAAGGCTTCATTTGTGATACTACCAAAAATGTCATTAATCTTGTAGTATTTTATCAAATACGCAACATGGATTCTGTGCTGGAATATCCACAGAAGAGAACAGCGTTTCGGAAGTTCTTCACCAGCATTGTGGAAACTCACTCATCTTTGTTGACTTTGGAAAGTCCTTTGACTCGTTACTCATTCCAACCAATTTAAAAAAGTTTTTGTAAATTATTTAGGCAATCCCTAGATGCCACAAATTATCATATGAAGAATCTGGTTGAAGTATTTTGATCGGAGTGATGTGCTAAGTGAAGATCTGAAGAGAGTCTTCTGCTCTCTAAGGCAATATTCGAAATATTGCTACCAGAAATTCATGCTGCCTGCGAGGAATTGAAAGTTAGACTCTTCGATTCTGAGTGATGTTAAGAGAAATTAGACATTAAACATATGTTTATATGATTAGGCAGACTGAAAAACTTATATGGAGCTGCGAAATACTGCCACACAACCATGTCATGAAAAAAGCAGAAATAAAGTAACCGGCAACAGTCATATCGTCAGTTAAATAAATGGAAAATGTTCAATGTTGCACCCAACTGCTTGACCATTTCAGAACATCAAATACCCCTCCAGAACAAATGCGCTCATTGGCCCTTGAGGCAATCAATGTAAGCTATCCTGCAGATCAATGGCTCCAAGTCTATACTGACGGGTCATACATAGAAAACCAAGCAAACGTTGGTGCAGGTGTTTACTCTGAACTATTCTCTTTCCATGCAGCAGCGGGACAAAAGATACACATTCGAAGTAGGAATAGAGGTCATTAAGGTAGAACTAGGCCAATTGCGTTGGCTTTATACGAAATTCACCAAAGCAGTAATTCTTTCGAACTCACAGTCAGTAATAGATTCAATTTGAAACAGAGAGCCACCCAAAACAGCCGAGATATACGAAAGTAAAAAATTGTATCAGTTACAGAGAGGAAAACAAAAGAGTAGTTCTTCAATAGATCCCTGAACGCTGTGGCATTAAAAACAATGAGCGTCCTAACACACTTGCTAAGAAGGAGACAACGATTTTGCAATGCATGGACCGCCGATGTCTTTCCACACAATGAAGGCCTTAACCAGAAGGGAATTCAAGACCTCAAGGTGCAATAAACTAAAAGCTCGAACAAAGAAGAAACAGTGGACAGTGGCTTTCTCAGACATAACCGATTGGCCAAGAATCGAAGCCGTTGGTGAGTTTAGACTACGTACCGGACACGATTGCCTGTCAAAACACCTTCACAGATAGAGAATATACACTCAACCCACATGTCCCCTATGTGACCTACAGGAGGAAATGGAGAAGACTCACCTGATTCGGTGTCCTTCCCTAAAGACAACGACGGAAAGGCAGAGATACTGGGAAGCCAGAAGTCAACTAATGGGCTAATGATGGCTACCCTAAAGCCTAAATATATGTTCCTCCTCCCCCCCCCCTTGTGAAACCCGAAGTCAACTAAGAAGCTAATGGTAAATATCATAAATCCTACCAATTGAAATAATAATAAATGAAGGATTAATTAGGTGAGTTTTACCACATTGCCGAAAATACTAAAAGTACTTCCGATTTAAACCATTTATCAAGCTTGTGCTTCTTTGTAGCTTGTGCGCGATAGACTTACCTCCACGTGGTGCACCCTGGGCAACGTATACTTATACGGCAAAAAAGTCTATTAACCGGCAGCTGACTTCTGAATTCAAACTATTATGACCTGACTGTCTGTCGTATTCGACCCCTTTCACAGTACTCATCTTACCTTTTCTCTGCCTTTGTGTGTGTGTCTCTTTCACATTTGTTAATCATTATTCTGTCCCCCCACAGCTCGACATTTTGTCACTTTGATGTTCCTCCTTCTCTCTGTGAAGCCCGAAGTCGGTTAGAGGGCTAATGATTACTCTCGAAACGCCTGCCATTTGACATAAATAAATAAACTTCCGATTTAAACTCGAGTAAAACGAAATGAACCATTTATCAAGTTTGTGCTTCTTTGTAGCTTCCTTGCCATTGCTTAATAGCATAATTAAGGCTATTTAAGCAACGACTCTGAGTTTGATGCTGGAATTGCATAGAAGATGACGAAAACCTCATGAAGTGCTGGTAGAAAAGTTTCCTCTGAGAAAATCTACCCCTCGGCAAGTTTGGGCAAAAGGGTTGCGTAACAACTACACCTTGCTTGAATTCTGAATTACAGAAATTTTGGCAAATCTAAGGTTTCCATTGCAGTGCTGGCTGAGGTGGTTAAATGTAGATGTAAGCCAGGCATGATGTGGGAAGGGGGGGGGGGGGTTGGCTTGAATGTAGAATTGCCCTAAGGAATCTTTACTACTACGCTTTCCAGAACACAAACTAGGAAACCAGACAAAAGGTATGAGAAAAGGAACAATAGTCTGCTTTAACACTCGGCTCTTTTGGAAACACGAACAGGGTATCATTGGAATGCAGACATTCCATAAACCCTAAAAACCTCATGTCAGTGACTGGTTGTTACAAGAGCTAGTTAAAACTATTGTGACTTCCAGATAAATTGAAAATATGTCATATAGAATTGCAATGTTGAGTGAGTAAGGAATAATCTAAAGTATCATCGGAACTTCAAGGGTTCGAAGTCCAGAAGCAATGGGACTTTGATTCCGGACTCTCTATTTAGATTAGACGCTCTCCATGATTGAAAATTAAAGATATTTACCTCTGCAGTGGATAATAACAAATGGTCATTCACAAAGGCGAAGGGTAAAAAAATGATCAAACAATAACAGAATCTTATTAAATAATATCATTGCCTAGAGACCGAAATGACTGCTGCTCATTGGTAGGTAATTGATATTGGTGCTCTTCAATAGACTTCATGAACACATTTATCATACAGCCCAATAGGAAGTGTCTGATCTGTTACCCTAAGTCGAATAAAAATTGTATGAATTAACGTTTTACTCTCAAAAAAAATAGAATTTTGCTTTTGAGCTCGACTGTTATTACACAAAACGTGGTCAATATTGCCATAAATCTTGTTTATGTGTACCTTTTGTTATTGTATTTTCTGTTTTCCTTAAGAGGCTAATTCTTTTAATGAATCGATTTCCAGAACTTTTATTTTCAAGATTGTTTCAAAATTTATCACTTAAGGCAGTCGAAATTATTTTGTCCAATTTATCTCCTAACTAGAGCGCGTTCTTATTCGTTTCATCAATGCAAATTAGATAAGCTTTTTAAAGAAACGCACATTGCGCTAATTAGTGAAAATACACGTTCAGTGTTTATTTGCTATTTTTATTCATTAATATGAGCGAAAATGGCCAAAATTTGCAATTACCTGTCTGTCGAATCCAGGAGTGTTCCAGTATGCAGTGCAAGCAACATAAATATAAATGAGACTAGCCTGTTCAACAGATTTGATAGGCCAACATCCATCCGCCATATAGGGGACCATATCTTCCTGAGAAATTCCTGGCGTAGCACCAGACGCTTCAAGCAAATCATAATCAAATTGAAGAGGTTGCACAAAGTTGACGAAATGAGCCCATGAACATCGTGGAAAATGGATTTCGTCACAAGAACTAACAATGTGGAACCAATTTATTGAGATTGGAAGTAATGTACCAAAATTTAGTACCCGAACTGGAAATTCGAATGTGAATATATATAATTTGGCTCGACTTACGGGTACCGTCAGGATGGACATCCCAATGGTGAAACCATATAGTAGTCGGAATAATAGACGATGCGTATATTCCAGCAGGAAATCCATAACGAAATCTAGTGAATCGAGGATCTTTCATGCTTTCAAAACTGTGGAACTTGTACAGATCAAACTTATTTCCAGGTGGACGAGTCAAACTTGATTCAAATAGATTTATGTAAGCAGATGCTCTGAAAACTACCTCCAAAATGGCAATCAAGATACGAAAACGCATGAAGTATACGAAGACTTAGCAAACCATCAATGTGAGAATATTGATCGACTATTAATACAAATTAGTATGCCCGTTATTTGAGTGGCTGGTTCAAGCAAGGTTTAATTAATTTTTGCGAAATTGAATTAGTATGTTTACTGAGAGAAAAACCAAAATTCTTTATTAAAAAATAATTGGTTATTGCTGTCTATTAAGGGGGGGGGGTTTCTATGGTTATTTCAAACTTTCAATTTTTAGTTAAGAAGATAATTAGCATATCTATATATTGCAGGTTTTTAGAAGTACAGTTTCGGCCACACAAACGCCTGTGTAATTATAGGAAATAATTTGGCTACACATTACGACCAACCTCCACATATGGTATGAAATTGTATGCAATTACCCCAACTTTGAATTAATATTTATGGCTAATTGGCTGAGAAGATTTATATAAATATATTTCTATAGTTATTCACGAATTTAATATATCTTGCTGTCCTAGTTTAATAAAATTAATTTCAAAGTTTTTTGAAACTTTCTTAACGGATTTGGCACGAATGCAAATCTCTCGAAGTTTCCTGCCTACAAAGAAGCGCTAAGGCTAATTATAATTAGTATTATTATTCGAAATCAAAGGGCAAATAGACTAAAATCCATCAACAGAATTTTTTTGTAGCAAAAATGGACTAAGTAGTACGATTTATTGATTTATGTTCTGCAAACATTTTTTCAAATGGCAAACTTTGTGATAACTATCATTAGCCCCTTAGTTGACTTCGGCTTTCACAAGGAGGAAAACATAAATAGCAGTTCGTTAGTTGTCTTCTGCTTTTCCAGTATTTCTGGGTTTCTGCCATTGTCTTTAGGGATGGACACCAAATCAGGTAAGTCTTCTCCATTTCCTCCTGTAAGTCACCTAGGGACATTGTGTTTGAGTGTATACTCCTATTCTGTGAAGGTGCTTTGCCAGGCAATCATGTCCGGTACGTATTCTAAACTCATCAACGGCTTCGATTCTTGGCCAGTCGACTATGTCAGAGAGTGTCACTGTCCACTGTTTCTCCTTTGTTCCAGATTTAAGTTCGTTTCTTGAAGTCTTGAATTATCTCCTGATTAAGATCTTCATTGTGTGGAAAGACATCGGCCGGTCTATAATTTACAAAATTGTTATTCCCTTCCTGGCAAATGAATCAGCACGCTCATTGCCTATAAAGCCAGAGTGTCTAGGGATCCATTGTAGAATCACTGTTCTGTTTATTTCTCTCAGTAACGATTTAAGTTTTGTTACATTCGTATATCTGGATGGCTCAGGTTTCAAATTGAATTTATTACTGACTGTGAGTCCGAAAGAATTACTGCTTTGGTGAATTTCGTATCCAGGCAACATAATTGGCCTAGGGCTATCTTAATGGTCTCTTTTTCTCCTTCGAAAGCGAATCCATTGTGTCCCGCTTCTTATTTTCATTAAAACTGGCTACTCCACATGTGATGTTCAAATAAACAGTTAAACACTAATTCTTCAAGCAAATATAATAATTTGATGTGTCGATGGCCTCACAATTGTGTAATAATGGTTCATTTAGAGAACTTGAGGTGACATCGATTGTTTATATAATCCGGACATGTCCCGTATTAGTTTTAAAAGTGATAACATTACAGGCTTTAACTTTTAAGATTGTTCAATTCAATGAAAAGTGGATTTTCTTATACGAAGATCTTTGCACTGATTATGCCAATTTATTTATTTGTTGAGAGAAGTAATCTGAGTTCAAAATACTCATGAAGTGGACATATTAAAAGAAGTTCCAATCAAGCTTTGACAACCTTTTCTGTCAAGATTACTTTAGAATACTATAGAATTTTTCTAGAAGTTGGCTTTCTTATTTCAATGTCATCGATTGAATAGTGCGCATAATGCTCTATTATCAGATGTAGACCATGTTATTCCAAGTCACAAAAAATCTATTGCTACTCGACAGAGAGGTCTCTGCACATTAGGTTGCGCATGCCAGAATATTATATTAGCAAATGAGATTTTTGCCAACCTTGGAAGTGTCGTGCACTCCATAAACGAAATATTTCGAATATTAAGAATCGACCCCTCTGAATAGGAAATGGATAATTCTATTCTCAGTGGCGCAGAGGGCATGATTACAATGTATTGGTAAAGTATGGCATTTTTAACCCAACTCCGTTACATACCAACAACAAGGCATTTTTAATAGTAAAAATGCCTCAAATAACGTTGAAGAATTCAAAATGAATAAAATTTCAGATAGTGCATTATTTATAACATATCTCGGGTTACAAGAGGACGACTTTATCTAGATAGAATTTATAAAACTTAATCATAATAAAATTAGATCAATATGCTTTTGATAATTATTTGTCAAAATAAAAAGGGGCCTAGATTAACTCTAAGGTTACAAGCGTATAATACTTTATATCAACTTCAAATAGGGTGGTATTTTAAAAATTAGATTTGACCTTAAGGCTGCTCTCGAATATGTCGACGGAGGTGGAGTTTAATCCTTTTAGACCAGATGGAGAACTTAGCAAAGAAGCTGAGAATATTATTAAAAACTCTACTATTCTTCGAGATAGGGTAATTTTCGCGTTGTATTTCCTGTTTTAGTAAAATATTTTTTCTTTTTATACGCTCAGTTTTTGATGTTTATTTATCCCTTGCTCTCATGTCTATTTCTACCATAGGTTATAATAAACGATCCATCTTTAAAACGACCAGAAAATGGCGTTCCTGCTTCGATGGAAAGTCCTCCAAAGGCTGGAAATGGAAATGCACAAAAGTACGAAGACAGTCCAATTCGGACAGGTGAAGTTGTTGCCGGTCAAGTTCCACCAGTGACTCAAGCCGCCTCATCCAATGAGGCAGAGTCTCCAGTGGTACAAGTTGAACGTGTAAAAATCAAATCAGGTCCTTCAAAATGTTGCTTGATCCAGTAATGTGTGTCTACTGTTTCTCTCCACTCCCCTTGTAAGTTTTCAAAAATATATTATCAACTTATTAATAAAACGAGTCAAAAACCCAAATTTGTTGAATCGGTTATTTCATTATCCCTATAGTGTCGAGTGGATTTTATCAATATTGTTTAAAAAAATTGATCTTTTCATTTTTCTTTCTTGAAAACCTTTTAATTATTTTGATGTTAATAATAATTTGTCTAAAGTGTGTAGTGTTTTCAAGGATAATCCTTTATCCGTTTTTACGTTTTATTATCTCAATATTGCCATTTACCGTTCTATTAATTGATGTATATATTTTCGAATATTCAAAAGAATTTTTTAGACTTTTTTGGTTAAATCAAATCTTTATTTCCCCCTATGGTGGTTCAGTTGGTTATTAATCCCTCCTTCATAAATTTTTTGTGTAATTTATTGATTTCCTATGGCTAATTTCATTGAAACGAGAACTTTGCTTTATTTGAGTTAAAGTTTTATCAGACTTGCTTTGTCGCCTCACCTTTTTATGCTGAAATTTTAAGTACACAGTTTTATTTTGTTCACTTTATACCGGGCGCGGTGGGTGGTTCGTTTTGGGTTTGCAGGTGTTGAACTATCTTTCTTCACCATTTCTTGATATCATCGGCTGGATATTCATTAATACAAGTGAAAAAAAGTTATAGATGTAATGAACTGTCTGAGTTTGATTCCAAGATTTGGCATATTTCGATGGTGTTTACCTTTCAAAGTATTGGTATGCCTGCTTATTTTTCACAAAGGGTGTCTGATCGTATGAATTTTTTGTGGGTTCAAATTTTTGTCAGGTGATTATGGAAGCGTATCTTTTGCGCATATACAGTTGTGTAAATTTGACAAAATCTGTAGCTCAGCTATTATCACTTGTCAACCCCAATTGACAATTCATATGATTAATCGTTCCGCTTAGATCCGGCTTAATTTAATTTTCTCTTTATTGTTTCGTTTCTAATGATGAATTAACATTTTTGGCCTCTTGTAAATATTACGCGAATTTTGTATCTTTGAAATCAGATGTTCGATACTCATGAATGTATAGAGGGTTCATTTGGAGGTGTATCTTTATATCAAGTCTGATCATCTTAGTCTATTTATTGTTGAAGTGGGCACACTCACCATCCAAATTAATCAATGAGCCAATAAGCACTTGATCTCATGAAATCGCTCAGTTATCCAAGAGAGGAATTGTTAAATTTTAATTTTTACTAGTAAGTAAACATCCTGGTCCGTGGAAAATCTAAAGAATCAAATGAATTTGAACCTCGTTTTATTCACAAACCGTTTTCTCAACATATTTCTCCACCCCTTCTCCCTTCCCTCTACCCCTTTTGGAATTTTGCGTCTACTGTGATTATCTTTTATCCCTGCTGTGAAAATGCCCCCAGTAGGTTTTCCCCTTGGGGGTTCTCGACCCAAAACGAATGTGGAAGAATCATCCCCCCCCCCCCCCCCCCCCCAACGTATTTGGAGGGGTTTGTTTGTACTCTTTTTGGTATACACGCAAAATGTTGTTGCCAAGGTATTTCTTTCCGAAGCAAACTTTTAATTGGTCCCGTTCAAAAAATTACTAATTTCGGAGACAAATATGCCAAATGCCGCATTCTTTTATTAACTATCGCGATTTTTCGTGCCATCGTTGTTTCCTCGAACATTTTGGCACCGAACTTTCCTTCTCGAACATTGTCCTTTTTGTTCGCCTACTGACAGACACTTGATCATTTCCATGCATCTTTTGGCTTCTCAAGTTGGACTTTGCTTATTGATTCGCACGTTATTGAAAACTCATCCTTTATCCCTATAATTGAGAAAGAGTTGTACCTGTTTCTCCTCTCCCCTTTTGTTCTCCGGTTCAGTGACAAAGCGATTATTGGAAGTGTGGGGACAAAATCATATGATATCCATTTTAGCAAACACTTACTAGCTTGTGAAAGTGGTCATTCCAAATTAACTTTCTGCTTTCAATGGTATCGTTGCAGATGAATCAAATCTGATAATGGATTGACTGAGTGTGCGAGAGAAAACAGCGCTATCCACCTGGGTGTGTGTGCGCTGTGTTTCATTTTCATACAGATTAGGCCTCTGTGTCGCCCCGTGATCATGCTTATCCGTTCGCTCGCGCGCCTACCTGTATGTGTGGATTTGCGTGTGTCCATTCATTCAAACATCTGTTTGGGCATTTGGAGTGACTTTAAATCACTTACCTGGATAACTTCCATGGAAAGGGGAAGTTAATTGATATAAGAGACTTCCATACTTAGTATTATAGTAAAATGTGTCGCTTTAATAAAGGGTCCTTCAAAACACTGTGTTGGTTAACTAGCCTACCATTCAATGTATGCATAGGTATCTTCTAAGGTTTAGGGTTCTCTATTTTAATTCTTTCTGTATACTCGATTTTTTAGGGTATTAATTTATGACCTCTATTGCATTTGTCCTCTTTGCCCAATCACGACCTAAGAAATTGGCCAATCTTTTTCGAGCAAGCAAATGTGTCAAATCTCACACAGCCATCCATAGAGCATGGGGTACTAATGTTTGGCCACTCTCCTATCCCTCTCCCTTTGCAATGCACCTAAACGATTACAGATGGTAGTTCTTGTCATTTTATCTTTTATTTTAAGGATATGCAGTTGTTGTTGTTGTGACGAAATTACTCGAGTTAATTACGTCAATACGCTTGACCTTAAACGATTATGTCCATTGCCATGATTTATTTCTTGTAATTTTTACTTTCATCACAAGCCTCCCTTTGACTTCCGTTCGCTTTTCTAAAAAAATGACCACTGAAATTCTATCATTTGCTTCAAAGTACAATTTCAACTGTTTGGTAATTTTATTTTCTTTTTTATCTATTTTTCCGTAGCATTTCCATTCCAATTTTACGATTTCTATAATTTCCATGATTTTTATGGACACAATCATCATCAATATAGTGAAAATTCGATTTAATTTGCCCCCCACAGTGGAGGGAAGTGAATTTTGTTTTGTTTTTTTTCAAAAATAATTTTGGAGTTATTCCTTCCTTGCCTCTGTTTTCCTTAAAGTGAGGTCATTGACCGTAAATTCATAGTCACGAATATGTAATTGATTTTCACTTAGCTTTTTCGATTTCATCAGTGTCAGTGGTTCTTTTTTCGGCTCCCAGGAAATGTGATTATTATCACTTTGCAGGCTTTGCGATAGAAATATCATTTGCCCTTTAGTTGATTTCGGGCTACACAAAGGGGAGAAGTATCAAAGTCACAAAAATTCGGAGGGGGGGGGGTTGGAATATATGTGCCATTCACTAATGTAAAAGGCAGACAGATTTAGAGGGATTAAATTAAAGCGAGTACTATGGAAGTGGTGGAGTATGACATACTGTCGGATCATGGTAGTTTGAAGTCAGAAGTCAATTGTCGGCTTACAGACGTTTTTTGTCGTATGAGAATACGTTGCCCAGGTTGCACCACGTGGGCGTAAATCTATCGCGCACCCCGGCTCCAAAGTAATAACTTGAATTATATGTGTCAGGGTCGCAAGTGTATGTCCACATGGTATACTTCCTTTCATTGACCTTGATCAAGGTGATTTGTTTCTGTCGTGAAAATGTTTCCTTTTTATTTTATCTACTCGTAAAATTGTATCTCGCTTGTAGCATAATGGGAATGAGATTTTACTGTGATCTAAATTGGCTGTTATTTCTTTACTTATAACAAGCATCTCTTCATCGTTTCCTCCACTCTGCATTTTATTCTGCAATTAATTTTAAACCCGAATGATTGACCAATAGGACATATGCAGCTGCCAATTTAGCAACTATGTGTGATAGGATTTGTACGGTAATTATAGAGTAGGCATTATCTCACGAATTTAGTCCATCATGAATTTAGATGTTTTGTTAGTGCAATAGATAATAAAGGTATATTATTATTATTATTATATCAAATGGCAGGCGTTTTGATGGTTATCATTAGCCCTTTAGTTGACTTTGGGCTTCACAGAGGGGGGGGGGGGAAGGAACATCAAAGTGTAAAAAATTCAAGAAGGGGGGGGGGAACAGAAGAGTGTTTAAAGACGAAGGTAGATAAGGTGGAAAAAAGGTGAGGTGAGTACTGTGGAAGTAGTCGAATATGACATACAGTGGGGTCAGAAGTCAACTGCCGGTTTATAGACTTTTTTTGTCGTATGAGTATACGTTGCCCAGGGTGCACCACGTGGAGGTAAGTCTATCACACCCTAAGGTATATTATTATTTTTTTAGCTCCTTAAATCTAATTCCTGTTGGAGTTTGTACGGGTTTTCTGCATTCCTATTCTAACAGCCATGCTATTTCTATCTCCTTTTCACCAACCCCTTAGTTTCGCTTTCTAGTTGTCAGTACGTTGACGATTCGCCTTCTCTACCGTCTAGTGGAGGAAGCAATGACGTGTCTTTTTATTTTGTTCACTATTAAACGTTGATAATTCTAGCAGCGTGTGTATGCTGTTCAAGGCGCGCACGCATGGTCAAAGATTGGCCAAATATTGGTTAAAACAAAAACTTGTGTCATCTTTTTTTTCTCGGTTCTATCCCTTCTGTGATTAATAGTACTCTATGGTTAATTAGCTCAACAAATGAAGCATTACAAAGGCATTTAGGGGGGGGGGTCTTTATTCCAGGGCTTTTCTTGAAACGGTGTGTTACAAATTTCAGCTCTATGACAGAAGGGCTCTAGCATCCAATAAGCTAAAATATGTTAATAGGCTAAAGCGTTGAAAGTCAGCGATTGAAAGGAGAGGGGTGTTAGTGGTTTAAGGTACTTTCTTTTCATGTTCGCTGAAGTATTTTGGACTTCATACCACTACGATTGGCAAATACGTCGAGGTGTATCTAATAGATGAATTAGGAGGAGGCATTTATCTCTACGCCTCAGGTCATTGAGGAGTAGGCCCCAATAAGTGGTTTCGAGCGTTAACCTGGTCAAGAACGTACCGAGAGCTATCGGG